AGCAGGATTTTCTTCAGTGCTGGGACTGGTCAGCACTGTCCAATATTGTGACCAATAGTCACCTGTAGGCACTGGATGCTTGAAATGTAGCTAATATGACTAAAGGATTGAATTTGAAATTTTATTTCAATGCAATTAACTTAAATTTCCATTTAAACAGCTCTCTGTGGCTGGCGGCTACTGTCCTAGAGCTTCACAGAAGGCAGTGATTATAACTTGATGAGGAGAAATAGATGACTTAGGGCTTCCTTGCAGGCAAATTGTGATAAGTTGGGTTTCAGGGAGGGCACGGACCACAGGTCCCTTCTGACACCAGGACTGAGCTGGGTGCTACAAGGAAAGGCCTCCCAAGAGTCTTCCTGAAACACGACACCAATGCATCCGATAGGCAGAGAGGGGAGGTGCTCGGTGTGTGGCAAAGTGCTGGCCAGCATGGCGCCGGCTCACCGGGGACGCTGCAGTGGCTCTTGGCATCCTCTTCCCACAACACTGCATCGAGCAGCTGTGCGAACTCCGTGGGACCACAGACCTGCCCACACCTCTCTGCTCTCAGGAACCATGCCAGGAGCAGGGTGGAGAAATCAGAAAATCATTTCGAGATACGTAAATTAAAAACATCTGTGGTGGAAAGTGGCTGTAATGGGGTGGCCAGGCGGGCACTCCTTACCTGTAGGGTTTTGCTGGAAGAATCCAATTGTAATGCATCCTGTGTTTTCCCACTGGAGCTGTGAACAGATGTGTTTCCTGACCAAGAATTCACCATCAAACAGAACATAACCGTAACAGAATAAATACCATGAAAGCAGAGAAACCAAAGCCATAAATCTTAGTAACTACCCAAAGTGATAAAATTCTGCTACTTATTCTATAAAATGAGTATAAATATACAGTATTGGTGCATACTCAGGAAAGGACAATTTTCCATTAACATATAAAAATTCAACTCCACTGTGCCATAAATTAGATTTTCTTCATACCGAATGATCAAGTGTGATAAATACAAATTGAACATTTGAATAATAATAGTTTTGCTTCTCCCTGAAATTTGAAATGCATTTGAAGATGTTTTTATTTTTCTCTTAATAAATTTCTCTGTAACCGGCAGAAGCATGCATAATTATTCCATTATCCATTCCATCCATCTGGATGTCAAGTTCGCAGCATCAGTGGACCAAGGCAGATCAAGTCTGAAGACAACACACAGCGCATTAAAGCACAGTCCATGTCAGGAGGCCTCCGATACACAGACTGGGGAGATTTTAGCTGGAGAAATATTTACTAAGACCTACAAATGGATACTCTAATTTTCTTCTATTCTTTATTTTTTATTTTCTCACTCCAGTTCCTGAATTCTGATCTAAATATTAATGTCTCATGTTCTTCTTGTCATCGTTTTAAAAATACACTGTGATTTTATGTTTTTAGAAAAGTGATATGTGTTCGTTGTAGAAAATCCAGAGAAGAAGAAAATAGATGAGCCACAGTTCAGCTCCGCCACTCAGAGGTGGCACATCTGTGTTCAGTGATTTTTGTTTTCTTAGGAGACCGCACAATATTAAAACACAGTTCCGCTCTTTTTCGATTAATCCTTCTGGAATGTTTCCTCACGTTTTAAAACATGTTTCCAAAACGTCATTGTAATGTTTGTAGAATATTTCATTGTAAAGGTCACCTAAATGTATTTAACTAGATCCCTTATCGTAGGCAAATTCGGTGTTTTCCTTTTCATGATTATTTTAAATAACATTATGATGAAAACCTCTGCATATAAATTATTTGTCCACATGCATTACGATTTATTTAGGTGCAGAATTTCTCTATCAAAAGGAAAGAACCTTTCTTAAGGCTATTTTTAAGTATTGCTAATTGCTTTCTGGAAAGATGGTCTGTTGTAGTGGTTATCAAAACAGGTATTGAGATCAGAAAGACCAGAGTTTGAGTCCCGTGTTGGCAGTTCTGGATCTGTCGTCAGCCACGTGACCTTGGCCAAGGAGTTAACATCTCTGAGCCTCAGTTTCTGTACCTGTTAAGTGAGCTAGTAGTAGGGCCCGCCTCATGTCCCTTGCAGTGTGGAGCAAACGAGATAACCCATGTAAACGCTGAGTATAGCAAAATGCTTGCTGAGAGAACTAACGATTTTATATTTCTTCCCGGAGCATTTGGGCCATCTACTCCCTTCTCTCACAAACCCTGGACACAATTTTGTGTCAGAATCATCAAGCTGACAAGCGAAAAAGGACATCTTGTAGTTTTAACTTCTGTGACAAAACACATCTCTCAAGCCTTCAAAAATATGTGAAATATTTCAAGTGAAGAGCTGGCTTTGACAAATGTTTTTGCCTCAAATGTTGTTCCTTCTAAGTGCCAAGTAATAGAAATCTTTCTTGGCTTTGAAGGGTAGATATGCTAGTTACTGTGTCTGAGGGCACCGTGGTCTGGGCGGGGTGGAGTACGTGTATGTAACCATTATTCAACATGTGCTTAAAACATTTCCTCCCAACAGCCTTTAACCGTCCATAATTTAAGTTGTAGAAATAGCTTCGTCAGACAACCAGTAGAAATAAAGAGAAAAGAAGGAAAACACCAATGATCCTTTCAGCTACATTAAATTTTATCTGTTGACCGTCCACACAGTTTTACAGAATTACATCAGATGTTCCTTCAGATCAGAGGGTGCATTTCCTCATGTCGCCCAGCCCTTTTCCATACAAGTAACTGTCACCTTTCCAGGCCCACGAGGTGCCATCCCATTCATGTTACCTCGGTGCGAGCTGTGTATGAAGGAAAGAGATCCACGCCCCATGGGACGGGATGGAGGGTCCGCGACAAAAGCCTCCTGGGGAAGTGAGGTGGAGATGAGAGTAAGAGTAGAACTCAGGGCAGCTGGAAGGGTCGGTGCGGCATCTGAGTCCGAATATGACGGGTGGGCTTAGTCTGTGGTGAAAATCGAGGTGGGGTTCACACTCGGACATTTAGAGGCTGTTTTAAGGACAGGCATCATTTATGTGGCTTTTCCTGGGAGCCTGGAGATGCCACATGAATTTAAAGACACAGCACTGTATGTCTCCCACCAGACAGGGTTTGCTAGCGAACATGAGTTCACAAGATTTCTGTCATGCAAGTGGAAGAAGCTATTAAAAAATATGACCTCGATTGTTACGGAGAGGAGAGAGATCTGCTTTTCTGTCCTGATTATTGTGTCTTAAGTGTCAGGCATCAAATAATCTATCACTTGATGAAATGAAAGAGGCTCTTGAGGTTTCAGATCTGTTTCTCTTCTGTCCCTGTGAGTTCATATTTCTCAAGGTTCCACCTTTGAGTGTTGAGCTGTAATAATTTTGTAGGTACACGGTGAGTCTCTTGGCCCTTTAATATGGTTACTACTGTTCGTTTTTGTTCAGAGCAGGTGGTGCCCCAGCTTCCACTCAGAGCTTGCTGGTCATTGTCTCTTATCAGGTGTGCGTACATGTCCCACCAAGAGAAAATGCTGACATACTAACATTAGATGACCATGTCCTAATCACGTTTCAAGATCATCTGTGCCACTTCTAACCTTGAATATTATTTTTTTCTGCTTTCAGCCTTGAATTAGGTTCTGTAAGGAAGAGGTTTTGCTGAAAAAATAATATATAAAAAAAGAGTAGTTTAATTTTATTAATTTTGGGGGCCTCTGGCATAAATGTTAAGTCAGAATTGTTGGGCAGTAAACTTGCCGGAAAATGAAGATGAGGACAGTGTATGGTGTGATAAAAAAGGCACTAGTCTCAGAGTTAGGAGATGTAATTTAATTCACTCTTTTGCCACTTATTAATGTGACTTTGGGTGCATCTATTCATTGGTAAAATGACCTCTTTGTTTATCAAACAGAAACTGTGGGATGTCCTATGTGCCACTCAGTGACAGCCTGATGTACTTTGTAAACTAATATTACATACTAATGTCAAGTCGTGATGGTATATTTGAGGTCAACATATTTCAAAATTTATTATTTGCATTTAAACGTATCTCTGTTATTTTTATGTCCTGGCTGATCATTTCCATATTCAAAGTTAAGCTAAAAAAAGACCTTGGTTCGCTCATCTTTATCTTTCAGTCTCATCAGGGCCTAAATTCTTTTCTTTATTTGGAATCTGTCGCACCACATTCTAAAACATGAGGTCCAGTGTTCCCTAAAAGAGTGAGATTCAAGATATTGCCGTGGGATTTTATGCTTTCATCCTGTTGGTCACTATGTCGCTTATATTGTAATAGGATCTATTATTCCTATATCAGAGCGAATCGCAAAGTGACAACACTTGAATGGTGGCTCTATTCTAAGAGCTGCATTTCCAACCTGGTAACTACTATGCACACGTAGCTATTCACTTCTAAGAAAATTAACATTAAATCAGTAAACGTTGTGTTTCCTCAGTCACACTGGACTCATTCCACGTACCCAGTGTAGACAGTGGCCACTGCTCGGACAGTGGCGATTGTGGATCCTTTCCATCACAGCAGGAAGTTCTGTCGAAAGGTCCTGCTTTGGAAGAAAGCGGACCTCGGCTCACTTTGTTCGGCGGCACCTAGCATAGGTTCCATGCAGAATTTTATACCGTCTTTAGCTTTCCGACCTAAAAGAGCAAACTTTAGTGGCCAATCGAGTTTCCCCTTCACCCACTCACCTGCTTCCGCAAGTCACATTAGGGCGTTCGGTAGTTCCAGATATTTATTTATTTGTTTGTTTGTTTGTTTGTCTGTTTGTTTTACACCTACAGCGCCAGGTCTTCCTAGGTGGTCTCCCCACCGAGTACTAACCAGGCCCGACCCTCCTTAGTGAGATTTTTAAACGATTGTTTCTCTCTGTTGGTTTCCGTAGGTCCTGCGTGACAGACATGTGTGAATGTCCAGTCCATAAAAATTGCTACTGCGAGTCATTCCTGGCCTACGCCCGGGCCTGCCAGCGAGAGGGCATCCGCGTGCCCTGGGAGCCTCGGCAGAGCTGTGCAGGTGAGACAGTCCTGGCAAGTCCAGCCAGCGGAAGTGCGTTCCGACGCCCAGGGTGGCAGTGGATGAGACTTCCTGTCTTGAGTGGCCATATCCTCCCCTGGCCGAAAGGAAAATCCCATTAGTGGCAACCTGATAAAGCACAGAGGTTTCCCACTGAGAGATTGTGATGCAAACCCTAGCAGAGTGTTCTTTTCCCTCTGAGGTAGATCACTAGATTAGCTGTTATAGCTCTTTGATCTCAGGCAAGTTAATTAGCTTATTTGATATCCATGAAATGGACTTCCTTGTTTGTCCAAGAAATATTCCTTACAAACTAGCTAAGTACTGGGCACTGTGCTAAGTGCCGTGGGTGCTTCGGTGACTATGAGAGATGAGGTCCCCCGTCACTGAGGTGCTGGCAGTCCAATGAGAGAACCAGACAAAGATGGTGACTGCCATAGTTACGTGCTAAGTGCGGTAAGCAGGATGAAGGAAACACACAGGGCAGAGCAACAGAAAGCACATGGGAAGATGTGAGCGGCTGCAGAGGATGAAGAGAGAAGGCTTTTCTCTGTGGAGGTGGCAGTCCAGCCAAGCCCCTTGAAGGATCGAAGGGCATCAGGGGAGGCATTCTGTGCAGATCTGATGGCCGGTGTAGGAATAAAATAGCATGCTCTCGCACTGGAAGGGAGCCAGCGTGGGCTGAGCCTGGGGGCTGAGGGAATGGAGCACAAGATGAGGGCGGAGTAGAAGCAGGAGCTGGATCGTGCAGGCCTTGGGAGGAAGTCTAGCTTCCATTTCAAGAGAAGTGGAAGCCACCGCTGGGCTTTAAGCAAGACTATGCTTTTCAAAGATCACTCTATAGAGATGGATTGGATGGAGCATGATTGAAAGCAGATGACCAGGCAGCAGGAGCGAGGAGAAAGAGAGAGAGAGAGAGAGAGAGAGAGAGAGAGAGGTGTCTGGTGTCTCTACGTCTTATAAGGACACCAGTCCTATTGGATTATGGCCCTATCCTCATGAGAGAGAGAGAGAGAGAGAGAAAGAGAGAGAGAGAAAGAAAGAGAGAAAGAAATGGTGGCTTGGACTAAGAGAGAGGCAGTGGATTGGGAGAGAGGAGAAGAGTCTAGATAGTTTTTGGAACTTTATAATATCTACTATGCAGAATTACAAGCATTAGTGACACGTATGTGAAACATCTGGAACAGCGTCCAGCTCATCAAAGATGCTCAGTCAATAATAGTAGTTTCTGCTGCTATTTAGATTTGAAGATGAGATGACTGCATATTTGTCACTTCCGTCGAGGGTTGGCAAACATTTTTCCGTAAAGGTCTAAACTTGCTTGGAATGAAGAGACTGGGGTTTATAACATGACGTGAGTCCTAGTAACCTTAGCTCTGATGTTAGAAAGAAAGGTTTCCATGGCCTTGCTGACTCCAGCATGTCTCTGCTGGCGGAGGACAGGACTGATCATTTGGTACAGGAGTCAAGGAGAGGGGCCTCGAAGCTGTGTTTTCAACTCATGGACGTTTGTCCACCTAGACAGGTGGGTCTCAATCTGGCTGGACATTAGAGTCGCTTTGGGAGCTTAAAAGCACAAAACCAGACCAAACCAGAAACCTCTGCCTGGCGCCCTTGCCCAGATATCCTGCTTAATTGTCATTGTGCATCTTATGAAACCTCTCAAGTGATCCTGACCTGCAGCCAGAGTTGAAACTCAGAGTTGAAACCACCGAGTTAATTTGAACGCTTGTTTGGATGGCTTTGGGGAAGTAGAATGACAGCTATTTGGGGGTTACTCACACCACCCCTTGACATGTTCACTAGTCTATGTCCTTGACAAGCCCCAAAGTCCCCTTATCTCCTCTGATTTCCCTGTTTGGATTTGCTCTCTCTTCTGCAAACACAAGTCCAATCTTTATATCTGAGCTTACCATCCGCAGCAAGAGTACCTCTCTAGCAATGCTGCTCAAACCTCCGAGAAAGGTTGATTTGATAAAGATAATTCACATGAAGGTGTGGCCGAGGGTCCTGAAAGGTGAGAGTAAATGGCGTACCTCTTACCTAATGCATCAGTGCTGAATAGCCTATTAAGGGCAGTAGTTTTGAGGGTCTGGATCCTTTCTCTATTTTGAATCCTCCTTCCCTTGAATCTACCAGGAAATAAATAGAATATGCGGAATCAAGCCCCATCCGTTCATGCTGGTGCAGTGCAGCGCTGAGCAGAACTTCATTAATTTTATTTGCGGTGCTGCCGTGGCAGGGATCACGGTAGATACAGAATGCATGAACTCTCTCTGCCTGCCTCGGAGCTGTAGTTAGCACCATTTTGGTGCCCACATCGCATCGGAAGACTGTACCTTACACCTCAGCACCCTGCTATCGGGGACAGAATCTCGGGAGCTCAAATTACTTTTCTAATGGAAAAAGGAATATGGCTTCTGAAAGGTTCCATTTACCACTTACAATTAATTAGCCACCTGAGTGAAGTCGGACTCTGTCAGTGTGCAGTTGCAGGGGAACCTTTTACACACACACACACACACACACACACACACACTATGAACTTTGCAGATGGACAGGCAGCCCAGGGCACACTTATGGAGACATCCAGCATCGCTCAGTGATTCATTTCTGATTCATTCGGAATAGGGAAGACTATAAGAATACTCTTTATTTGTTTTTAGCTCCCAGATCTTTTGACTTATGACAGCACTTAAGACCACTTCATACAGAGAAGAGAAATTTTCCAGAGTAAAAAGCTGGGAAGTTGAACAAATCAGAAGCCAGCCAGGCTTGCAATTCTGAATGAACAAGTGATTTCCAAGTCTAGGCTGGAGTTTAGCAGTGTCCTGAATGGGAACACAAAGTGCATGCCCACTAGCCATGTAAGCAGGACTAAAGGAACTCCAGCTGAGCGTGTGAATTACTGAATACGCAGGGCCTATGAAAGTTTAACGATGAAGATTTATATTACTAGTTAATATTATCGAAGTACCTCCTTGCACCAAGGACAACACAAGCACCTTTATTACGTTGTGTCTTGTTAAATTCACATTGTAATCCCTTTGGTAATGTTCTCTTACCCACCTTTGACTGATAAAGACATGGAGGCTTAGACTATTTAAGTAAGTTGCTAAAAATCACAGTGCCGGAAAAGGAGAAAGTTGGGAATTGAACCCAAGTCAATTTGCTTTATAGCCTCTATTCATAATCATTATGAGAACGCAGACAAGCAAGAGCATTGTGGAAAAATATATTTAAATACGAAGATATATGTATTTGTATATTTACATGGGCATCAGCTAATTTATCCAAATATCCCTTAGAGTTTCCCACTTTCTCTTCACTTGTTTCTTATGATTGATAGTTGTTACCTGGTACCTTCTGACTCTGTAACTTTGTTACGATCCTGGTCCTGCATCATACTTTCCTTTCCTTAGCAGATTTTCTGCCACCCGCCTGTAGCCGATGCTAATTATCACTGCAGTTTCAGTGATGCATTTTATCAGTGGAAAAGGCGCTGGGATATTCAAAGGGGTGCGTGCCTTTCTGTAGCGCTCAGATGTCTGTCGGTCCCGTGAGCAGTATCATCTTGCTTTACTCCGCGAACCCCAGGAGATTTCAGCCCCTTCGCTGCAGCATCACTGCCATAGTCATAGACTCTGAGCTTTTCCTTGGCTGACCGGATGCCTCCCGAAAAAGTTTAGGAGATGAAATCCAAACTGTGACTTCAGCCCCCAGTAGGGGGACATGGAAGATAGTTGAGTTCCAGAGGGCACAGAGCCATACTTATTGAACTTATTGATAAAGCCACCATGGGTTACCACACAACATAACACGGAAGGCTACCTGTGTGTGTTACACAGTGGTCACTTGTGTGTCCCCTTTCAATACATGCCAACTCCAACTGGATTTGTAAAAAAAAAAAAGAAAAAAGAAAAAAAAGACCATTAAATCAAATGTATCCTTTTTGAATATACAAATCGATTCACATTTATGTTTCTAAAAATGTCATTTGCCTTTTATAAGTTTGAAAAAAAAAATTGGATTCACAGAAAGGTAAAAGAGGGTCCAAGTCAGTATTAACCTTCAAGGATCGTCAGAAAGTTGTGCCAGTTTGGAGGCGAATTCAATCATGTCATGCCCCCCAGTTAAGACCCTTCCAAGACTCTCCTTTGCCGAGGTTTTCGCCTCTGCTTGCTCCTCTGGCTTTGGCTCCTGCTTCCCTCCGCAAACTCCATGCTTCCTTCACCAAGCCAAGGGCCGCCCCTTCCCCGATGGAGCCAGAGCAGCTTGTTGCCTGCACCCCTGCCTTAGCGCGTGCTGTCCTCTCTGCCTGAGAAGCTCTTCCTGTCTCATCTGTCTGACGATTTGAATTCACTTTTCAAGACTTAAGTGGGATCTATGCTCTGAAGTCTTCCTCAGTCTCTCCCCACCCCAACCTCGAGCTGCTGTCTCTTACCCTCCACTGTACTTTGCTTTCGTTGGCATTTGTGCATTTCAGTAAAAATCCATTTAAGTGTCACCTTCGTGCATTTCAGTAAAAATCCATTTACGTGTCACCTTCACCTATTTGGTCATAAGCCCAGGCTGGAGCTGGAGGTTGGAAATGATGTGTAATTCACATTTGACCCCCGGCCTGAGAGGATGCCGGCCGCAGAGAAGATACCTAGAAGATATTTATTGATATAATTTGAATTGAAATGGAGATGGTAATTGTATGATGAAAAAAAGATTTTTTAAAATTTTATTTCCTGGCTGTTCTTCATTTTCCTATATTCCACTTCCTACCTGTAGATTGTGAGGGAAATATCAGGGTTTGATAATCAAAGGCAAGATGTCACAGAAGAACAGTACTAAGTGAAGTGGTAGAGGGGAAAGGAAGTATTGAATGGTCGCAGAGAGGGAGAGGCATGGGGGGTTCACGTCTATGAAAGAATGAGGGGAAGGGAAGAACACTGGTGAGAACAAGGATTCTGCCGAGTTTTTATACTAAAGGGATCTTTGCAAGACTTGAAGGGAAGCAAAGTCTCTGGAGAGTAAAGTGAGTTGAAAGAGACATTCTGGAAGCAGCAGAGTGGAAAATGAACTCGAGGCCAGCCAAATGTAATCCACATTGGGATGTAGGATGATGGATTGAATGTCATTAAGATTAAATCATCATCCAGCAGGCACAAGCGTTTATTAAGCTGCTCCTCTGTGCTTGGCCCTGTGCCAGAACTTTGGGTCATGGAAGACAAGGGTTCTGTCCCCAAGAGCCCAAATCACAGTGGTTCATTCTCTTCAACCAGCAGTGCTTGCCACAGTGACCCTGGGAGCTTTTACAATCTATGGCTACCTGGGCCCCACTGCAGAATCAGAGAAAAAATCTTTAGGGAATAGGACTTAGGAATATATGTCTTTTAAAAAGATGCTCAGGGGACTCTTATAAGTATCTCCAATTAAGAACTACAGCTGCACCGTAATTGTGGGATTAAAACACATAAAGAAATAACTAAAATGTGAAAAGCACTTTGGAATGGAGAGGAGGGAAGAGCATCCTGGGGGACATCCAGGAAACCACTGGAAGGAGGTCACTTTTGAATTAAGACTTGGAAAATGATGAGACTGGGAAAAAAATCAGAACTGAAGATAATATATTTCAGAGCTCTCTGGAAATTGGAGGTAAAACTGTAGTAACTGCTGTGTGTGTGTGTGTGTGTGTGTGTGTCAGAGAG